AAGATACAGGACACCCAGCAGAATCTGAATTTTAGATAAACAACAAATACAATTTTTAAAGCAAAAGTATGCCCCCAGATACTGTATGAGGCATACTTACACTATGAATTACTCATCGTTTATGTCAACCTCAAATCTGATGGGCATCCTGTTTTTATTTGCAAGTCTGGGGACCGCAGAGAAAAATTCCCAAGCAAATGACAAGCAGAAGAGGTGGGGAGGGGCAGAGGGGGCAGGAGAAGCCAGGGACACACATTGAAGGGTACGTGTTGATGTCCCAATGCAGCTGAAGACAGTCCAAGGGCCACTGAGGGGTTATATCATAGAAATAGTTGACTTTTTAATTTCCATTTTTTACAAATTTGTGTCAAATTGTACTATCTAACTCTAGTTCTTTCTAGTGCTTTGATTCACAATTCATATATTTATAGACAAGTTACAGTATTCAGGAATGAGTAAGTGTTTAAACTCAACTTGACAAAGACCCCTCTGGAGAGTGGGGAAGCACACCCTGAGCATCGAGGCAAGGATAGTGTCCGTACACCTCTGAGCATCAAGGCGGGGGCGGTGTCCACAGCCTCCCCTCCAGGGAATAAACGGCTCATGCAGTCTTCCCAGGACCACGATGGGGTGTAGGTAGAAACCAGTGCTATGCAGCCCCATGAGATGTAATAACAGGGAGCAAAGCCCCCTACAGGGAAGGAAGAAACTTCTAGTAGACTGTGTCATCAGGGTGGCCGTGTCCCAAAGAAGCCAGAAGGCCTGGTGGTGGCAGCTGAGATGGCCAGCTACACCAGCTAAGAACCTTGCCAAGGGATGTATACATTGGGATTGCGGTTGGCCCTGACACCCTTTTCCCCTCTCATGCCCCCTGAAATCCTTCTTCGCAGCAAGTCCCCTTCTACTTGGTTGTCTCTGTGTGTGTGGTCCACTCCACGGCATTCCACTAGAACTGCTTGCATGCACATTATGGGATGTCATTTACAAATGGCTACAACACTGAAGGAAACTATGCCTCTACTTTAGCAACCATTAACTGCCAATAGACCCCCCCCCCCCGAAGGAGTAGGACCTCAAAGGCCCCGTCCACCATCTATGAGGAAAGGCTGATGGGCCTAGCCTTGTGCAGTTAACCACAGCCGCATTGAGTTCATGAGTGCACTGGGTCCACAAGGTGTCCCCTTTGCTGAGTGTCACTCCATCCTTTGGCTCTTCTATTCTCTCTGAGATGCCCCCCTAAGTCCTGGAGGACGTGATACAACTGTCCCGTTCAGGGCCGCATTGCATAGTCACATACTTGTTGTGACCGGTTGTGAGTCTGCCCTAGCTGCCACCTGCCGTGTAAGAATCATCTCTGATCAAAGAGAGCACGAAGCTATGGCCATAAACACGAGTATTTGGGAGATAATTTAGCATTGTGATCATTTAGCAAAATGACAGTTGTAGGTTCCTTTTTAGGGCTTTGGACCTCTCCATTGTGGATTTGCATCTCTTTGTAGGTTTAAAGAATCAGGCCTGACTCTGATGTTTGAAGATGAATTCCAGACTCCTAAACCCATTGATGGGCAGGTCAGTTGGTAAAGGAGTCAGGGAATTCAAAACTAATCACTCCAAGGTGGACTGGAGAAGCAGCCTGTCCATGTAAGAACATCACCACACTTCGTGGTGTCTCATATTGAGTGCTGTGTTAAGGTATTCGTACTTGACTGCAAATCTGTACCTCTCATGGTCTTGGATACTGGTAACTCAATTAAAAATATTTTTTGACAGGGTTTCCCAGTGTAGTCCTAGCTGGTCCCAAACTCACAGAGATCTCATTTCCAAGTGCTGGTGTTAAAGCATGTGCCACTGGGCCAGGCCGAGAGGTCACGTTCTGTATTTCGTAAGTAGCAGAACAGGTCACAAGTAGCTGAATAAGCATGCATAGCTCTGCCTCATGGGCAAGTGGGCTAAACCCACAGAGACGGAAGCAGGTTATACCCTGGGAGCTGGAGATGTGCTGGGAGCATAACTGAAGCCACATACCATGGTTCCCAACTATTTTCTGCCTTATGCTAGAGTCGCCACTACCTGGCTGTAGGCGGGAAGTGGCCCCTCTGCCCCTGGCAGTTCTGCTCATCTGTGGGTGTCTGCTGATCTTATTCCTGGAGTAGCCTACAAATCACTGGTGAAATCCTAAGAGAACACGGCCTAGGCAGGTTCTTCCTCTCCCGATTTTAAGTCATTCTGTGTGGAAAGAGGTCACCAGCTCGGTACTGGGAGGCCCCTTATGACCCCAGTCTCCTGTCAGCTTTGAGACTGGTTAGTGCCCCCTTAAGCTGATGTGAAGCAATATGGAAAATGCCCCCTCAGTTTTCATGAAGAGGCACTTAGCCGTGTGAAAAAAGGCAAGGGTAAAGCTTCATTTTGTCCCTGCTTACTGACGCTGTTAGGGCAGGAGGAAGCCAGGGGCTTCTCCTGGTTTACAGTTCTCAAACTCAGAAACCAAGGTTTCCAGGAGCTGTGCTAGGGTAATAGCATTTTAAACATCCCTTGTTCTAGAACTTTCTCTTGTATGTATACTATCAGAGAAAGGGAGATTAGACTTTAAAGCATACGGTCTAGTGTTGTGCGATATTTTATTATACCATATAAACATATCTCACTCTGATTGGTTTAATAAAAAGCTGAACAGCCAATAGCTAGGCAGGATTTCCAGGCACAGAGGACCGGGGAAGAAGAAGGGGGAGCCACAAGGACAGAGAGCAAGCAGCATGGGCATTTACAAAGTAAAGGTAACCGAGCCACGTAAAAGAAGTAGATTAAAAGAAGTGGGTTAATTCAAGTTATGAGAGCTAGTTAGAAACAAGCCTAAGCTATCGGCCAAGCTTTCATAGTTAACAATAAGTTTCTGTGTCATTATTGGGGAGATGACAGTCCCAATGAAAAATCTACCTACAGTCTAGTGCTATGAAAACTAGAAAGTAAGTGCAGCCTGCCTTGGCTGACTCTGTCCTGCAGGGTGGCCTACAGGGACATTTTTCATCTCAAGTGGGATGGACAGCAAGACTCTGTCTTCCCTCCCAGTTGGACCTTAGAAGGATTCAGAACTACGCAACTACTGACATTCCTCATCTGAACTGACAGTTGTATCTACAGCATAATACCAGAGGGCAAAGCAAAGAGGTGAACGCTGGGGCATCTAAGTCAACAAGGCTGACCGGATGTAGACTACTTTTTCCTGTGGATGGGTTTGTGAAGTTGAGTCCTGACCGGGGACTTCTACAGGCATCAGAGTCGAATCACCTGCCCTCATTCCCAGCATTGTACCCCAGGGTAGACCCAAGTCCTCCAGCTATTTGGGAGAATTGTACACAGGTACGTGAGGGTGGGCTCAACTTTGATTCAGAGGGCAAAGGCTCTTTATCTACCAACGCTAATCTTTCCAATGAGCAAGCAGACACTTTAGCCTGCAAAGAGGGTCTAGCCTGGGTAGAGAAAAAGAACCTTCTAGCAAACAGTTTTAGCCCTGACGGTTGAATTGAGACACAGTTCTGGTCTCCTGCCTCTATTCTTTGTGAAGAATGTGGTTTCCTAGCTTCTCAGGCAGAAACAGCATTGCAGGCTGTTTCTTGATTAACCCCTGGTCATACACAGCCTTGCTCTGCCTGACCTTTCCCTGTTTGGCTTTGGGCCTGGGAAGGACAGGCATGTTGACCACCTGCAGCTGCTTCCCGGGTGTGCAGTGGAGTCACACAGTGTCTGGGTGTGCATGATTGCTCTAAAAAAAATCCCTGCATCTTTGCAAGCTCCGGGGCTTTTTACTTGGAACCAAGAAATTAGTTCTATAGAGCTGCAAGTAAGAGTCCCTGGGGCTTTATAAGCAAGCTGCCTGGGCCAGCAGCAACTCCAGCTGTGTCCCCCCATGCAGCTAAGAGTGGCAGCCCATTTGCCACCCAGTGTGGCACCGCATTGCCTCCTTGGCTATCCCTCCAGGCACCCTGAAGGACACAGCAGAGAACTTCATGAACTGCTTATACCTTTCCTGTCCATTCTTGATCACACCTCTGATTTTAAGGCACTCAGGTAATTCCCAGGAAATGACTAGTGAGGGCAGGGGAGGCTAGAACAGTCCAGCTATTGCTGCTTGCTTGACTTCTGCCTGTTGTGGAGTTGCTGGAATAATTTGGTTGTGACCTAGACTGCCTCCGAATTAGCATGTGTATCTGACAGATAGTTGGTATCCACCTAGCCATGCTGATAAGTGCTCCTGTTTTTTTTGTTTTGTTTTTATGCTTTGACTTTCTAATCCACAAACATGCCATCGTGTATGTTTGCACATAGGTATGTTATCAGCTGATCTGGGACTTGTGTAGGGCCTTAAAAATATCCTTTAAAAATGTAAACTGTCTTCCAAAACTAACACTCATGTCAGCAGTACTGTCCTCCACAGTGATCCCCCTTTCCCGTTTTGCCCCCTAGCACCCGGAAAGGTGTTGTATTTTGGACACACCTTCCCTTAGTCTTTGCAAAAGCCCAGGCTTATTAGGGAATTTAAAAGACACCCCCCTCCTCAATTTCAGCCTGCCAGTCCGCAGAGAAGCAGCCTGCCTCTGGGTAAAAGCGTCAAAGAAAAAACCGCGGAGCGGAGAGCTTCTGTTCTGTTGCGCTGTTGCTTGGAATTAGGAAAACGTGTTTAAAAAAAAAAGTCTTCACAATCGCATCAATTATGAAGATTCAAAACAAATCAATTCACGTTAATTACAGCGTCCAACATCGTCTTTATCCACCCCACACGTCCATCTACTCTCTTCTCACTGCATTTGCCTTCTTCGAAGTATGTGCTTAGTTTTTGGTTTTGCTTTTTAAGGGGTGTTGACCTGTGTCTAGTTCTAGTAAACCGATCCCTCTGGCCGGCGCCGCGATTGGTTAACTGAGCGGCTGACTGACGCGGTATGGAGAGCGGCTCCCGGCAGCGCGGAGCTGATTGGCTGCGCGCGGGAGATCCAGGGCTCGGCCACCCGCACACCGCGCACTCGGGCTGCAGCGTCGCAAGTAGGTGCAGCCGCCCGCAGCCCGCCGCGCCTCCGCGAGCCGGGACGGCACTCGGTCTGTCCCGCGCGCTCCCTGCCCCGCGCGCCAGTCTCGCCGCGGCCTGCGGCATCCGAGGGCCCCATCGGCCCGAACTCGGGGAGCAGCGTGCGGCCGCGAGCCGGACGGGGCCGGCCACTACGCCTTTGTCCCCGGAGGCTCCGGGAAGTTTGCCGCGGGACGCGCGAGTGAAGGCAGCGCGAGCAGCCCCGACGTCGCCGAGCAGCATGGGCAGCGGGCGCAGCGCGCGGGGCCGCGGCGGGGCCACCTCCGGCGTGCTGCTGGCGTTGGTTGCCTCGCTGCTGGCTGCGGGTTCGGCCAGCGAGTACGACTACGTGAGCTTCCAGTCGGACATCGGCTCATACCAGAGCGGCCGCTTCTACACCAAGCCTCCGCAGTGCGTGGACATCCCGGTGGACCTGAGGCTGTGCCACAACGTGGGCTATAAGAAGATGGTGCTGCCCAACCTGCTGGAGCACGAGACCATGGCAGAGGTGAAGCAGCAGGCCAGCAGCTGGGTGCCTCTGCTCAACAAGAACTGCCACATGGGCACCCAGGTCTTCCTCTGCTCCCTCTTCGCGCCCGTCTGTCTGGACCGGCCCATCTACCCGTGCCGCTGGCTCTGCGAGGCCGTGCGCAACTCGTGCGAGCCGGTCATGCAGTTCTTCGGCTTCTACTGGCCCGAGATGCTCAAGTGTGACAAGTTCCCCGAGGGAGACGTCTGCATTGCTATGACCCCGCCCAATGCCACTGAAGCCTCGAAGCCCCAAGGTAAGGGTGTTCCTTCCTTTGCCCCCGCGTCCAGCCGCACTGGCCAGGGCTGCAGCGGGGAAAGACGGGGAGCCGTGCACGGCAGCCAGCAAGGTGTGCAGACCCAGTCCCGAAAGCTTTTAGGAGGACCGGGCGTCACTTGGCCCTTCTCCTGCCCCAGGTGCCTCGAGATTGCTGGGGTAGCCTCGGCTCTGGGGGTGAGGCTGGGGTGGGGGGGGGCACGACGTGGAGCTGCTCCTCCTGGGCTCCACGTTTTCCATACCTGAAACAAAGCTAAGCCTAGGTTTTCAAGAAAAGGTGGGTGCCCACCCAAAGCTCTTAACATCTGAAACAGAGACTGCTCCCTAGGAAAACAACTCGCCCAAATTGCAGAAAACTCAGACTGGGGGGAAACCTGTGTTTATTTTCATAAGTTTGAAAGTCTTCTTTTTTCTCTAAAAACAAAACAAACAGCAACAAAACATCCCCTCGCCTTAGTTTATCTTCCTGTCGTGCTGCAGAACTGAGGATAAGAAGTTTGGAAAGAGCCACTTCTGTTTCTTTGCCTCTAAATTCAGGCTACAGCCTTGAATTTAGCAAATCTAGGGAATGCAAAAATCTCTTGTCCACCATCCTTCCATACCCCCTGCGTCTCCCATTCACACAAATCCTTGGGTAATTAGAAAGATAAAAATGTAATTAGCTCATTGTTTATCTCCTCCTGGGGGGTGAGGACCTGCAAATTGGGCTCTGCAAATTCTGAACCCTGGGGGAGCAGAATTTCATCTGGGAACCCGGTATTTAAAGGTGAGAGAGAGAGAGAGAGAGAGAGAGAGAGAGAGAGAGAGAGAGAGAGAGAGAGAGAGAGACAGACAGACAGACAGACAGAGAGACAGAGAGACAGACAGAGAGAGAGAGAGACAGAGACAGACAGAGAGACAGAGAGACAGAGACACACACAGAGACAGAGACAGAGACAGACAGAGAGAGAGACAGAGACAGAGAGGGAAAAAAATCTGGATACAAAAAACAAAACATGCACAGAACCCAAAGAAGCAAGCCCTATAGCAGCCTGGGCGGAGTTTCTTGGGACTGAGTTCATTGCTGTGGGATGAGGCTCAGAAATAGCAGATACTCTTTCTTGTCCAGTGGCCCTTATCACAGAAAAGCGCACCCCAAGGCCATTTCTGAAGAGGAAACTTTAGCTTATCTTAAAGTGTGTGTGTTTTGGCTGTCTGAGGCAGGGTCTAGTCTCTTGGTGTGCAACACAGGCTGGTCTTGAACACACATTCCTCCTGTTTCAGCCTCCTCAGCTCTGGGATTACAGGCATGTGCTGCCAAGTGCCTCTTGTTTAGTGCCTCATTTGGCTGCCGCAGAGTGAGGATTGGGGTAGACGTGTGGGACGTTTGAACGGCTCCTATTCATTCTGGGGAGGAAGGTAGGTCCAAAGTGATTGCCCTTGTCTGGCATGGGCCCCAGCCTGTAAGGTAAATGGTAGCCCTGGGCACCCCTGTCCTCAGGGCTGGTATGTGCAGTCTTTTGAGACGGCTCGCTGGGGGTTGAGCATTTCCCTAGACTGTGCCTTCTATCCCCATTAGCCCCCCCCACCCCCACCCCCTGCAAACAAGAGTTTCCTTCCTAGCTCCTGCCTGCCAGGAGAGCCTGTGGCCAGCTCTGTTTGTGTTCCTTCCATTCCCCGTGACCGCTGATTGATTGCCCTTTTCTGGGGCTATTGCTGGGCATAAAGTGCAAACCTGTGGGAAACAGCTTTGTGTAAAGTGGCTGATGTTTGGGGGCAAGAAAAGAGGACCAGAAGGGAGGGGCACTGTTTCTGAGGGTCCCCCAAACCAGTCCCTTCAAATCTGGCAGGGCAAAGGGCACACCCACCCTAACCCATTTCTGGATGCTCTTGTGTGAATCCATGTGTCCGGTTCATCCTTGCCTGGCGCTTAGGTAGAGCAATTCTTTGCTGAATAAAGAACTCTCTCTCTCTCTCTCTCTCTCTCTCTCTCTCTCTCTCTCTCTCTCTCTCTCTCTCTCTCTCTCTCTCTGTGTGTGTGTGTGTGTGTGAGAGAGAGAGTGTGTGTTATCTGGCAGGATTGTGACTATGGCTGGTTTCCTCTGAAGTGCTTTTGATTTTTGTGAGAGGCACCACTGTCCCTCCAGCCTGTCATTCCGAGGGTATCCCATGTGATGTACACCCCCGGCTTTGCCCTCCAGGGCTGAGAGTTAAGCTGTGTGTGCATAGGTGAAGGCTAAGCCACATTAGACTACTGGTCCCCAGAGCCTTAGACTGGAGGCCCTGGAACAAGACCTGCGACTTTGAGATGATAGTAAGTTCCCTACAGGTGCCTCACTCGGATCATTATCCACCCTGTTTTAAAACTGAAGCCCCACATTTTCAACACAGCATTACATTACATCTTAGTATTCAGTTTTAGGAATACTGGGAAATTCTTTGTTATTAAAGGTAAACCTGATCATCAGAAACGAGCCAAAGACTTTGACTTCCTCTCTTTCAAACAGTGGCTGCCCGCACTACCTTGGCTTCTGTGACAGGAAAGGGAATTGTGCTGTCCATCCCAGGAGACCAACTTCTAGATCTTGGACATACATTGAACTAGGAAATTGTCATTCTCCTTCCCTGCCAGTTCACCGAGCTGTATGAACGAGCCCATCGCGTTCAGATGAGTTGTTTAGGGCTGTTGTGCATTAGGTCAGTCAGGCCGTGTAGTCACAGGCTGGAGTGGCCAGGGAGCCCCCACTTCTCCCAGAGGCTCCCTTATGGTACCCCCTTCTCTCCCCTTAGTGAGCTAGCTGCCCGATGAAAGTCAGTCTCCCTGCCTCCCCATCTTTCCCTCCACCTCTCCCCGAGTCTCTCCTCTCCCTATGCACACTGATTTTACAAGTGATCTTAGTCCTGATTCCAGCGTTGGCTTTCCCCTCTACTCTCTTGTAAACATTGACAAAGTACAAAATCTCGTAGTCTTTTCATCGTTTGCGTCACGCTTTACAGCTATGCGTTGGTTTACCTGTCCAGTGGAAGTCTCAGTAGATTCCTCCTGTGAGGCAGTCTTGCAGGGCCCCCAAAGACGCATGAGGGGCAGAGATTAATATTGCATTACACATTCTTCTCCCTCCGGGGAGAGCTGCTCAGCTCCTGGTGGCAAGAATTGAGAAGAGGGAAAGGCGCGTTGAAAATAAACAGGGTCTACTTCCACACTGCACCTTTCACACCGAGAGTGCTTGAAGGCCAGGAGGAGTCCACAGGCTGAAACACCTGTCCTGTTGGGGGGCAGAGCCTCAGAGTGCCAGGAGAATTGGGGGTGTATAAGGAGACCGATAAAACTTGGTCTTTATGTTTGGATACCTTGCTACTCCTTTGCTTAACATTTTATACCTTGAACTATGCAGTGTGATAATGTCTACTTACAAAAAAAAAAAAGCAGCCGGGCGTTGGTGGCGCACTCCTTTAATCCCAGCACTCGGGAGGTAGAGACAGGAGGATCACTGTGAGTTCGAGACCAGCCTGGTCTACAGAGTGAGTTCCAGGACAGGCTCCAAAAACAATACAGAGAAACCCTATCTCGAAAAACCAAAAAAATAAAATAAAAAAAAGCAACCATGAAAACAGCTAGGCAACCCAAACACGCAGTTCATTTCCTATTATAGGTCTCATGGTCCTGTCCTCCTTTTTCTTTCTTTCTTGGAGACTTCTGAGTAAGAGGTTTTATGTTGTTGCTGTCGTTCAGAAATATCACTTCCAGAACCCAGTTTCGAGCTCTGGGAGTGAAACGTATTTCTGACCTGAAGGGTTTTGTAGCCTCTGCCCCCCAGAATTTGAAAGGCAGCTGCCAGAGTGTGGAATGTGTGGGGGGAGAAACTGGTGGTTGCAGCCTGGAGATGCATTCCCTGCCCTGGAGGGAGGGCACTGGGGAGCAGCCGTACCCAGGAGGGTACCTGTTTCATAGCCCAAGCCATGGAGAAAGGGGGAGAGATGGTGTTGGTGAGCCACAGGTGACGGGAAGTGAAAGCTGGTGGGCAGAGATGCTCAGCACACCAGACCCCACCTCGACTAAGGCCTCAGGGTGACTTCCTTTCAACTCTAGTCAGGATCTGGTCACCAGTGTCCAGGGTGCTGGGAAGAGACTATGTTTAGTGTACTTGTGGTTTCTAGGTCATCAATAAACTGTTGTTTGATAGGTGATGAGAAGGAGGAATTAAAGGGAGATGATAAGCTACTTCAACCCTTGGAGGTTTCTCCTGTAAACACTCTCTCTCTGTCTTTCCAAGGAGGCCTCTGAAGCCGCTTCCCACAGGGGCCTAGCTACCTCTCAGTGGCTCCCCCCCCCCGTTCATTCTCTTCAAAGTACCTCATGAAAGAGCATCTAAAGGGTTTCCTCTTCAGTCAGCTCTGTCCTCCATTTGGTGGGTCTGGCTAGCCCCTGCCGTCCCCCACCCCAGCCCCCACAGCCTGCTTTCTGGAGTGTCCCTATGGCACTTCAGGGTCCTGGACTTGAGTAATTGAGTATGACTCTTCTCTTGGTCCCTGAGACCTGATGGGCTGTCTTGCTCAGAGTTTGTAAATAGGAAGGGGGCTGGAACTGGGGTGGGGGGTGGGGCAGATAAAGGGGAGGGGGAGAACTAGAAGCAAACCAGGAGAAGATCAGTTTTGGTGTGTAAGCCAGCTTTTTTTCTTTCAGGCACTCACTCATAGCAGCCTGGAGCTGCCTCTACTGGCCTCAGATAAGCAGTCGCTTAAATAATCGTCACACTCGACATATCTAGGCCAAAATATCTGAAGAAAACATTCATCTGCTTATGCCAGTGATCCTGAGCTCAAGACCCCTTCACTGCCGTTCTTTGGGTGCCTTTCAGGAATTCCAGACCTTTAGCCCTGGCTCGTCTGCCCCCCCCTCTTGTCCAGGGGTCCCTATCACTGTGACTTACAGCTTCTGTTTCTGCTTGCCTCCCCTTGGTAGGTACACCAGTGTGTCCTCCATGTGACAACGAGTTGAAATCCGAGGCCATCATGGAACATCTCTGTGCGAGCGAGTTTGGTAAGCTAGAGTTCCGGCCTCACTCGGGGCTCTTGGAATCCCCACCTCTCCCTGTCCTGTGTTTCCCCCTGAACCTGGAGCTCGAGGGAGCATCGTGTTTGAGCTTTCCATCCTCTGCCTCCATTTTCACGAGGAGAACATGGGCCATCTTTTATTAAAATTAGACTACATAGGCCTCTGTGTCCCAGATTTGGAGGAACCTTCTTTGATGGCAGAGGGAGGCAGACTTGGGGACAGGGGTGAAGCCAGGTGCCTGAGGGTAAAGTGCCCTTCACCTGCTGCAGTAGCAGCCCTGGCTCGACTTCCTCTGTGGTCTCATTTTTATACCCACCCCTAGGTGTCAGCACTACTCTACCCTGAACTGAGAAGGCCCAGGGTGGGTGGGGTGCCTTCCCAGGAGGGGGGATTTCTGGGCACTGCTGATTCACCAGAGATCCTAGTCAGGGCCTTCTGGGCAGAGAACACTGATGTTGACACAGGAGTGTGATCTCTCTCCGTACTTTCTAAGTCACTCTGGGTTGAAAAAGAATTCTAAATCAGCACCTGCAAAGCTAAACTGGGCTAGGGAGCAAACTCAGGACCCTTGTAGGATGGCCTCTTTGGCCAACAGGAAAACCCAATGACTCCTGAACCTCCAAGAACAGTATGAACTGTGCCCTTTTGGAGCCTGCCCCCTCCCTCGCTTGGGTCTCCACGGCTGGATATAGAGCAGCAGTCAAGGTCAGACCCATTTTGCTGAAGGACAGATTTAGTTTAATGCTGGAAATTCCAGGCTGTGTCCCTGAGAGTGGATTTTTCACTTCTTATGGGAGGAAGTATAAAGGTAGGTGATGTGAGTTTTCGTGTCTGTTCAGAGCTGTCTCCTCTGTGTTTTCATTAGCCTGACATGATAAAGTACAGGAAGAGTATGGTAATGGGAAGTGCCATGCTCCCATGAGCTCCCATGAATGGGAGGGAGCACTCACAAGCCCAGGGAGTTTGTGTGTCATGGCTCACATATTCTCAGGGTGTTTGCAGATGTATGTACAGAAGCTTTATTGTTCAAATCACTTGCCAAAGAGACCTTAATGAGAATAGATGCTTGCTTATTTATTTATTTATATATTTTTATGGCTTCTCAAGGCAGGGTTTCTCTGTGTAACAGTCCTGAAACTCACTTTGTAGACCAGGCTGACCTTGAACTCACTGAGATCTGCCTGTCTCTGCCTCCCCAATGCTGGGATAAAAGGTGTGCATCATCACCACTGGCCAGCTATTTATTTATTTTTTAAAAACTACTTGTGTATGCTCATGCATACGGAGGCCAGAGGACAACTTTGGTCCCGTGGTTCCTGGGGTTTGAACTCAGGTTGTCAGGCTTGGTGGCAAGCACCATCGCTCACTGAGCTTATTGCATGCCATTTTTTAAAAAAAAGTTATATTTATTTCTGATGGGTTTTAATTTTGGCTTCCTTTACATTTTGCTGCTTGTATGAATCACACCCTCTTTTTCTTGTCGTTTAAAATTTTTAAGATGTTTTTTTAAACAATCTTGGATTTATCCTAGTCTGGCCTCAGCCTCTCAGTGGCTATGTAGCACAGGCTAGCTTCCAACTCTTCATCTTCTTATATCTACTTCCCAAGTTGATGTTGAGCATAGGGGTACCGGCCGCCATACCTTACACACCTTCTGCAGTTTTATTTTGAGCTCATTTAGAATGTTCAGGAGAAGTCGGGTATGGTGGCAATGCCTATAATCCCAGCTCATAGAGGTCTCCACCCCTAAGCAGGGGGTTCTTGAGTTTGAGACCAGTCTGGGTTGCATATGCAGATCCTGTATCAACAGACGAACAATTTACAGATGGCCTATGCAGTGATACATGCAAAGGCTGATTATCCCTCCATTCCCATCTGGAGGTTAGCTCTGCTCTGCTCCTTCAGGAGGTCCCCAAACTGGGCCCAGCCCGGTGGGTTTCCCTCATACTCTGTGTGGAAACAAAGCCCCATATTGCTGTAGCAGCAAGGTTTTCAGCCACGGAGATACACCGGGTCCTTCCCAAGGATAAACCTGGAAAGAAAGTAAGTAAGAGTCGCAGAGGAACCCTGGCAGGAAGCTTCTTGCTACATGGTGAGGACTGCAAGAATGGGCTAAGATGTGGCTGAGGTCCCAATGGCTCTTCAGCGTGCTAAAGAAAAGGCTGACCTTTCCCGTATCACTGATCTTTCATTTGGCATGTCAGAGGGTTCACTTTACCTGTTGCCTTGACATTGTGTGAGTCTGGGGAACCATCTCAGATGGAACCCAGAAAGTCATGCCTTGCTGGATGCCTCCCTCATGTTGATGGAATTTTATCAGGTTCGGGGAAGCGTGATGGAAATCCCTAGAACCGAATGTATGGAGGTGATTGGCAAGGAATGACGTCATACTAAGGAAGCTTCTAACTCGGGTGTCTGTGTCTGAGTCTTCATCTGCATGCATCACTTCACCCAACATTTATTAAGTACAATGAATTAGGGTAGACGCTAATCCAAAAATACCCACCTAGAATAAATTAAAATTTGCATCCTCATCAGACACTCTTCAGTGATTTTTCTGGAGTGGTGGGTTTCATTCAGAGTGGAAGTTATAGGGATTTAAAGGCCAGGGTCTGCACAGCCTTTTTGAGAAAGTGGATGTAGGTCCGGAGCCTTTGTCTGGAACTTACCAAACCCCGAATTGTTAAATCTCCCTTATTCCCAAAAATTCTGTTCCCAGGGGGGGTTTGTGGCAGCTTATTTTGGAAGAGGCAAGCCTTTGAAAGAACCTGCTATGGTAAGGTTGGCTTTCTAATGGAGGCAGAAATGCAGAGGATGTAGTTCAACTCACCAGAGTTGGCTGTTCCCCCACGGGAGTAGATACCGGCCAAGCTGGCAAGTTCCCTGGCTGCTACTACTTAAGGAGTGCCTGGTAAATAACCAGTAGGAACTGGGGACCGCAGTGAGGGCCCGTTTAAGACTCCTTGTAACCCTAAGAGTATTTTCCCCTTGGTTCATGAGGTCCTCCAAAACCTTAGGCTTCATTTGACCAATCCTCACATTTGATGAGCTAGGAGCTAACGTTCCCCCTTGGAATACTTTGACTCTCTGAGGGTTTTTCCCCCCTCTCCTGTGAGATGAGGAACACTGAGTGCTAGGGCTATGGCATGCAGGTGCCCATCTGTGCCTGGCGAGGATTGGGTGTTCTAGACTTTTCTGAGGGACGGAGGAAGAGTTTCCTGGCTTTTGGCTTGTGAGGTTTTTTTTTTTTTTTTTTTTTTAGAAAAAACGATAACTAGAATTTTTCCTCTCTTCTCTCTCTGTGGGGACTGAGCTTAGCCCTGCCCTTCTTAGTCCCCTGCAGAATGCAGCCTTGTTGAGAAACTTGTTGCCTAGCTCGGTTCATTTCAAGGAAGAGAGGCAGTGAGCCACACTGATAGGATTCAGTCAGAAAACAAAGACATTTGACAATGCAAGCTAACACAGAGCAAAGAATGTTTGACTCCCCGCTCCAGGGATCAAGCTTTATATTAAGTGGCCCTGGTGTCCCCGGTGGGAAGACATCAGTTGCTGGAAAGCATTGTGTGAGGGGTGTGCTCCTCAGGGGTGAGCGCACACACACTCGCTCGCTCTCCCTTTGCTTCTCTGTCACTCCCACAGCCAGTGTGGAGCCGGACATGCCGAGCCTGCTACCTTTCCCCCGAAGGATGCATGTCCAACCCCGTGACACGTCTGCCTCGATATAATCACTCCCTCCTCTCGCACTCTGCCCTCTCAGTGCGGAGCACATTTTTGTTTTCCCTCAACAAGCAAAAACAGCAGTAGGAAGTCAGCGCTGGTGCTCAGGAATGCATCAGATCAGCCATCAGACTCAAAATGGTGGTCACCCTGCCTGCTGCACCACAGTCAGGACCCACAGCTCTGCCTGGGTCTTCCCTGCCCTTCCTACTATGCCATGACTGGGTGCTGTGCTCAGTTCTTAAGGGGGCCAGTGCAGATCTGCAAGCTTCCGCATGACAACTTTGTTGTTAATGGCTCATGCCCACGGCCATCTCTCTCTAGGCCAGTTTATCTCAGGGAGATGTTAATCTGATTCACAGCTGCCAGTGGGTTCTTACCCACCTCCAGACACTTCCTCTACCTTCTTTCCCACTTCCTGTGAGTGCCCTCAGGGTCTTTCCACCCTTCCCAAGGAAGTACATGGCTTCCCTTGCTCCTGCGTCTTTACTTTTGGGACCCACCAGTTCTTCTGGCAGCTTCTTCAGCCAGTGTTTTCTACTCATGAAGAAGGGTTTCTCTCCCCATCCCCCTCCACCCCGCTACCGAAGTTTTCCTTGCCCTCTGAGAGAATATCGTCCCTTTGTTTGTTTATAGGTTTCCTCAAAGAGAACAACTGTGCTTGGCAGTAAGTAAAATTAGTCAAATAGGAAAGGAAAAGAAAATCAACTCTGAGTCAGCACTGGGAATGTTTCCTAGAAGTATTTCCTGTGGTCCCTGTTCCTCCATGAATCTGTTCTCACTTTGCCTCTCTCAAGGTTTCTTGGCTGAGTGGTTGTTGGAGGACCAAGTTTCGCTCTGCGCTCTGCGGGACGGGTTGCTGAGCGGCTGTTGGGGGCTGAGCTTCTCTGCAAGGCAGTTTGCTCTCTTGTAAAAAAAAAAAAGTCAGCTCCGACTTTCCAAACTAAACTTCAGGTTTCCTCTTGGAAATGGGGGGGGGCGCGGGGGAGCCAGCTGCCAACATGGCAATTCTAGCACCGTAGCTTCTTGAGAGCAGGCTCTGTGTCTGGGGCCATATTTACCCTCTGCACGATTAATAGATGCTCTATCTGCCTTGTACCACTGACAAAGAAAACATAACTTCATTGCTAAAATGTAAAAAAAAAAAAAAAACAGAGTCTTAGAACAAAATAAGGCCCGTTTGTGCTCAGACTGGTCCCAGGACAATGTCTCCTACACAGTAAAGGAGACCAACCCTTCCAAGTGGGATGTGCAATTTGTTATTAAAT